TCCTTGTCTTTCATGACTTGGAATATTTCTTTCCAGCCCCTTCTTGCCTGTAAGGTCTCTTTGGAGAAATCAGCTGACAGTCTGATGGGAACTCCTTTGTAGGTTACTGTCCCCTTATCTCTTGCTGCTTCTAGGATTCTCTCCTTCATTTTTACCTTGGCTAATGTAATTATGATGTGCCTTGGTGTGTTTCTTCTTGGGTCCAACTTCTTTGGGGCTCTCTGAGCTTCCTGGATTTCTTGGAAGACTGTTCCCTTTGCCAGATTGGGGAAGTTATCCTTTATTATTTGTTCAAATATGTGTTCAATCTGTTGCTTTTCCTCTTCCCCTTCTGGTACCCCTATAATTCGGATGTTGGAACATTTAAAGATGTCCTGGAGGCTCCTATGCTTCTCCTTGTTTTTTTGTTTGTTTTTTTTTTTTTGAATTCTTATTTCTTCATGCTTTCCTGCTTGGTTGATTCTTTCTTCCTTCTGGTCCACTCTATTGTTTTGAGACCCAGTTTCCTTCCCTTTACTATTGGCTCTCCGTGAATCTTCCTTCATCTCTTTTATGGTAACCTACATTTTTTCATCTAATTTGCGCCTAAAATCAACCAATTCTGTGAGCTTTCTGATCACCAGTGTTTTGAACTGTGCATCTGATAGATTGGCTATTTCTCGGTCGCTCAAAAGGATGAGTCCTGGGGGACTGATCTGTTCTTCTGTTGGTGACATGTCTTTCCCTGTTTCTCCTTTTTATTTTTTTTCCTGGTCTGGTCGCCCTTGTTACAGTGAGGGGCGGAGCCTTAGGTGTTCACCGGGGCTGGGCACCCCAGTCGCTAGATTGTGACATTATATGTGGGGGCGGGGGCGGGGGTGGGAGTGGGGGCGGGAGGAAACAATGGCGGTAGTTCCATTCTCCTGGGATCTGAGTCCCTTCTCTGGGATCCTGGGTTGCGAGCTCTGCCCTGGTCCACAATCACCGCTTCACTGGGTCCACCAGCCGCTGCTTGCATACTCAGGGTCCACCGCTTCGTTCTTGTGTACCCTGGATGGCTTACGCACCGAGTTCGCACCAAGTTCTCCCGGAACTCCGTGCCCCGCCCACCCGTGCCCACCCAGCTCCTCCTCTCCGCCCCTCGTACCGGTCTGGATGAACGGGTCTACTTCAACTTCTTGGCTGTCCAACTTCCATTCAAATAAATTCTCTATCAGTTCTGGGTGTTATTCTGGCTCTAAATTGTTGTTGTTCTAATCTTGGTTGTGCGTGGAGGTACGGTGCGTCCACCTATGCCTCCATCTTGCCGGAAGTCCCCTTGAAATCTTTATTGAAGATTTTTTTAAAGTTCATTTTATTGATTATACTATTACAGTTGTCCCATTTTTCCCTTTTATTCCCCTCCATGCTGCACCCCCTCCCACCAACATTTGTCCCCTTGGTTCATGTCCATGGGTCATACATAGAAGTTCTTTGGCTTCTCCATTTCTTATATTATTCTTAAATTCCCTCTCTCTATTTTGTACCTACCATTTATGTTTCTTATTCCCTGTACCTTTTCTCCCCATTCTTCCCCCTCCCACTCCACACTGATAACCTTCCATGTGATCTCCATATCTGTGATTCTGTTCCTGTTCTTTTTGTTTGCTTAGTTTGTTTTTGTTTTTGTTTTTGTTTTTGGGTTCAGTTGTTGATAGTTGTGAGTTTGTTGTAATTTTACTGTTCATAGTTTTGATCTTCTTTTATTAAGTAAGGCCCTTTAACATTTCATATAAAAAGGGCTTGGTGGCGATGAACACTTTTAACTTGACCTTATCTGGGAAACACTTTATCTGCCCTTCTATTCTAAATGATAGCTTTGCTAGATAGAGTCATCTTGGATGTAGGTCCTTGCCTTTCATGACTTTGAATACGTCTTTCCAGCCCTTCTTGCCTGCAAGATTTCTTTTGATAAATCAGCTTATAGTCTTATGGGAACTCCTTTGTAGGTAACTGTCTCCTTTTCCCTTGCAGCTTTTAAGATTCTCTCCTTATCGTTAATCTTGGGTAATTCAATTATGATGTGTCTTGAGGTTTTTAAATTTTATTCTCACCCAAGCACATGTTTGTTTATTTTAGAAAAAGGGGAAAGGAAGGAGAGAGAAAGGGAGAAAAACATTGATGTGAAAGAGAAACATTGATCAGCTGCCCCCTGTATGTGCCCTGACCAGGAATGGAACCCACAGGCTAGGCATATACCCTGAATGGGAATTAAATCTGTGTCCACTCATTCATTTTATGGGACAACACTCCAATCAACTGAGCCACACAGCCAGGGCCATTGTAGATGTTAAATCCTTCTTTTGGTACACTGTGTGGGTTAAATCATTTACTGTACCATTGCTATGGGAAGAGTAGCCATCTCAGGATGCTGGAGGCAGTGCAGAATCTGTGGGAACACAGTTTTCATGGGTAATGGTTTTAAGAAGCTGGAACTTGGTTCAAGGTTGCCACAGAAACCTCAAAATGCTGGCTGCCTACTCTCACCCAGGCTCTGCTGATACAATAATTAGGACTATCATTGCCTGAACTATCAAATGAGGTGTGCTTTTAGTAGAGTTGCTCTTTTTTTAAACCTCCATAATCCGTTAACCTACTTTAATTTGGTTTTTGTAAAATTCAAATGATTAAAGAGAGAGAAATCAGGAGAGGAATTGTATTGTTTTAAAGTCATCATCCCTATTTAAAACACTTAAGTTGCAAAATTCTTAAAAATTTGCCTCGCTATGATGTGCTATTTTCCTATTTTCTGGTTTTTGCATTTTGAATGTAGTCAGATTCTTTATCCCATACCACATATATGATAACCTCAAAATGACAATACCAGTACTAGTACCAATGAAATGGTTATTGAACAAAATGTTTGCTGTTCTTTTTTGTTTTTAAGATATATACCATTAGGAGTGACCTATCAAATTATCAGGTTTAAAAATCACTTAGAATAGTTCATCTCCTCTACCATTGTTATACCTGTGATTTAGGTATCATTTGTATCATTTTCCTAATATTATCCCTGGTGTCATTCTTTTTCCTCTTTCACTCTAAAGTTCTAACTAATGATTTTTTTCTCCTTGAAGTATTTATCTCTGTAGTCTGCTTCATATTTTTTGTAATAGAAGTATAAAGATAACTAGGTATAAAATACCATTAGAAGTAAAAAATGTATATTTAAAACTAAGTGTGTACACACATATATTTTCTTACTCTGTGAGCCGAGCAGGTCTAGAAGCAGTGACACCCCAAGTAACAATGGGGCACACCTCTTGGTTTCTAATAAAAGGAACAAAGGCTAATGGGAGAAATGGCTGGTTCTAGGATCAGGGCAGAGAGAAACAAGATGAGGCTAGAACATCTTGTAATGCCAGAAATTAAGGAAGTACACAGACACATAAATACAAAAGTATGGGAGCATGTCAGAGAGACACAGGAGACAATTGAAACAACTCCCAGTGACCAAAGCTGGAAGAATTTGAGCAACAAAATAGATAATGTGGTATTAGATTATAACTCAAGGTATAAAACAGCTATTTATGAGTCCATAGTCATATAAATATATTATTAAACACATAAATAAATGGGGGAAAAGAGACAAATCTCCTGAGCAGAAGAATTCAAAATAATTTATGTCCATACTTCATCCTCAAGGAACTAGGATATAACTCCCCAATTCTTTTTTTAATTTTTATTTTGAGGTTATTTTGATGTACAAGTATTATATCAAAGGAAGTGATTGTAAGGGAGTTTTAAGTTGAGAAAAGCACAGATATACTGAGATGTAGCCAGGGGAAGTTTCCAGGATTTAGTTAATATTCATTATTATTTTGTATTAGTTTTTAGATGTATAGCATAGTGATTCGACAATCATATACTTTACAAAGCAGTCCCTTAATATTTCCAGTCCCTACCTGGCACCATACATACTTATTACAATATTTTTGACTATATTTCCTATGCTGTACTTTATATTCCTGGGACTATCTTGTGGCTACCAACTTGTAGTTTTTGGTCCCTTTACCTTCTTCACCCAGCCCCCCAGGCCCTTCTGGCAACCATCAGTCTGTTCTCTGTATCTTCTAAAGTGTAGGTTGTGTAAAGACTTCTGTTCAAAGAGTATGGCATGGAAGTCAGGGGTAGCTTTTACAGTAGAAAAACCTGGCAAACAATAACTCAGCTAGTTGGTCAAGATTAACACCAATGATAAGTAATGTCAATAGCATGCACCTTTGATATAATGTTAATTCACAACATTTCCCCACTTTTCTGGTATTCGTATACTGGTTTAAAATCAAGCTTTTATGAAAGTTTTTATTTACAAGTGAAAACATGTTCTTAGCTTTAAGTGAATAAATTAAGTATAAAGCATAGTATCTACCTTTGGTAACTTTAAATGGAGTGGGGAAATCATGATCTGGCAAGCGTGTAATACAAGTATTACATCAAAGGAAGTGATTGTAAGGGAGTTTTAAGTTGAGAAAAGCACAGATATACTGAGATGTAGCCAGGGGAAGTTTCCAGGAAAACTTGCTCTTCTGTTTATACAATCAGGATTTCTGGAAGAGGTGCACAATAGACTGATTAAAGGTGCACCAAGTTCTCTTAAATGTGATTTGATTATTTTTGAACTACAAAATATATATTTAAAAAATTATTATACTTTGCTCAACCATCCTTTGATAGATAATATATAATTATATATAATTATATAATATATAATATATAATATATAATATAACACATAATATAATATATAATTATATGTAATAATATATATTTATATTTTATATATCTTTATATAATATATAATATAGATTATAAAATTAATCACAGTGCAGTCAGAATATATTAAAAAGACAGAGAAAAATCAATGGATTCTGTATGATACCCTGCATTAATTTTATGTGTAGATCTGATTAAATCTTGGATGTTTCATGTTTAGATGTTAATGTGTTCCTTGAGGCTGTTTCTCTTTTTTTTCCTTTTAGGATTATCTGCAGCTAAATTGTTAGCTGAACTTGAAGTTAGCGTTTTGGTTTTAGAAGCCCGGGACAGAGTTGGAGGTAGAACATACACTGTAAGAGTAAGTAATTTAAATACTTATATATAATATCTAACACAAACGAGAAGCAGGATCCTTGAAAGACACAGAGCTAGAAGAGATCTCAAAAGTTCATGCAGTGAAACCATTTGTCCTCCATAACCCTAAACTACTCCATCAAATAAGTATCCTTTCTTTTCAATAAGCACTCACCAAAAGTCTGACAGTCTCTGACTTTCAGGAGCTTATATTCTAATGAAGAACATAAATGTGAACAAATAGCTTTAGCACAATATCAAAATTTCTATACTAGAGACCTGAATAGAGGATGTAGTGTCTCAGGGTGGGGTTCCAGTTTGACCCAACTCAAAAAGTAACTATATACCCATGACATAAGTGCACTTAGTTTAGGTTCCTCGTTTATTTATCCAAGGATACAAAACTTAAAAGAAGCGTAGCTGCAGTGAGAAGAAACAAATGTAGCATATTTTTGCATAACTTTTTCCTTGATCTTTGTTCCCTGAATGATATGCTGCTGCCAGAGACACTTTTTGATCAGGTGGAGTCAGCTAGATGTGACAAGAAACTCAGTTTTCACTACATCACTGCGTTTTATACAGCATACCTTGTTTTATTTGTACCTTGTAGACATTGCATTTTTTTATGAATTGAAGGTAACAATCTCCACCAGCAAAATGTTTATTACTTGCTGAAGGCTCAGATGATGGTTAGCATTTTTTAGCAGTATAGTATTTTAAAATTACAGAATGTACATTGTTTTTTAGACACAATGCTATTACGCACACAATAGACTACACTGTAGTATAAACATAACTTTTACATGCACTAAGACTGAAAAATTGTGTGAGTCCCTTTATTGGATATTTGCTTCATTGCTGTAGTCTGGAACCAAACCTGCTATCTCTCCAAGATTTGCCTGTACTTGGGATTATATCACCATTCTGGAAAAATACACACTAAATATCGATGACTACTATTCAAGGAAATGGATGCTGGTGGTTGAATCTGTGGCAGCAGATGAAAGTATACACCTAGATGACATAGGGTGGGAAGGAAATAGGGCCAAAGTTGGAAGTTTTGGGAGCATGCAGATTTAAGAGGGGCAGAGGCACAGGGGGACCATATTAGAACAGTGCCATGCAAATCAGTACAGGAAAGAGGGAGGTATGCTAAATAGTCAAATACCATCAGCATTTGATATACGATGAAGACTGAAAAGACCCTTGTTTTTGACAGTTAGAAGTCATTTATAAGACTCTTTGTTAGAGCACACAAATAGAGTATTAAAGGCTGGAGATTGGCTGTAAGGACAAAATTAAAATGTTAAAGTGACTGGAAGGAGAGGAAACATCTAACTAGAAGATGTGTCAGACTTAGAACAGAATGGCTCACATCATGATAATAAAAATGGCTTAAGCAATACAAACATTCAGTTATTTTACATAAGAAGTCTGGTGGTAGTTAGTTCAGTCTAGTGCAGGGGTTGGACTTTGTCATCAAAATTATGCTCTTTTAGTTTTTCTCCTCATTGTTTATATGTTGACTTATTGCCAGTGGTAACAAGATGGATGCTGCATCTCTGAGCATCAAGTCCTCATTTAAGGCAGGAAATAGCATGAAGAGGTGGCCAAGTTACCTGCCACTAAGTTTTTCCTTTACTCCAAGACCCCAAGAGACATTTGCTTGAGTTCTATTGGTCAGAGTTGGAGTACTTAGCTACCCTTAGCTGCTAAGAAGCTTGGGAAAGCAAGTATTTACCATTTTCAAGATGCATAATAAAAGCAGGCATGGGAAGGAGAATTTGAATGGGTATGGAATAGCCAAAGAGCAACATCTAAACTAAGATATTATACCAGCTGTTTCAGTCACACCATGCTATGCTCCCCTCTGTCATTTGCTTCCTACATTTTTAGATGTACAGGGGTGTATTATGGGTCTATTTTCACTTTGTTCAGCTCTAAGACTGATCTACAGCCTTAGTTTTCAAAGTGTTCTATAGGCCCCTAGCTTCAGAATCACCTTGGGGCTTGATGCAAATACAGAATCTTAGGACGTGTCTCAGACCTGCTGAAGCTGAATCTGCATTTTATCAGGGAATACTACAGAAATGCTCCTCTATCATGTATATTTACTTTTTGCTTACTTGCTTTAAATTAATGTATATCCAGAATAATTGTATCTGGAGAATTTCTCAGTACTTCCTCAGCTGTAGTCCACTGGAAAGCTATTGGTCTGGGGGTGAGGAGACTGGGATTCTGGCCCCTGTACTGGCTTGACACACTGTCTTACCTTGGGTAAGTCTTATTAGTTCTTTTACATCTCATTTTTCTCATCTGAGCAGTGAGATTCAATTTAAATGTACTTGAAGCTCCCTTCCAACTCAAATTCTAATTGAAGGCAAGTGTTTGTAGTTAAAAAGAAAGATTGCATATTCTGCCTGTACAACCTCATTAGATATGATTGTCCTGTCATTTTCTGGAAAATGTTTCTTCATTTTTGAGATAGTTATTAAGTTGTCCCTTAGCCCTACTTTTCTTATCTCTAAAACCTTTTGGTTATTAAATAAGAACATCAGGCATGTTGCAGATTTTCAGTTAAGAATAAATTTCTTTGTATAAGGGAAATGAGAATTCTAATATGTTATTGACACAGGCTGCTTTTTCATGCTGCATAGTTTATATATGTTGACACTATACAGGAACTGTATATTGTGTATTGATCATGATATTATAACATACCTTAGGTATATAAGAAAGGAACTCTGACATGTTTGGAAACTAGAATTTAATGTTTAAAAGATTTCAAATGAATAGAAAAAAAGAGGGCTTTAGGAAGCAGGAAAAGAAATGGGATTTAATAAGAAACTGAAATGAATAATATCATAATTGCTTTTAATAGTATAAGCAATTAGGATTACTTGGTGAGGAAATGACATCAAAGTTACTCTGGATCTTTAAGTACTGAAATGTCAAATTTAATATTGTCACTTGGCAGCTGTTCACATAGGTCTTCTATTAGTTCAGAACTTTCCAATTTTTTTTCTCATGTGATTCTTCTATAATTCTCAAGAACTAAATTAATTAAGTTGAAATGCCTGCAGGGCTACCAAAGGAATGATGTATTTGTTTTCTAATAAGGTTCCATGTTTGTGGACTCTTCAAAGGCTGTGTAATGAAGTTGAAATCAAGACCCTAAAAGACTGAGGGGCAACACGTCAGTCACTCTGCCCTCAGCAGTCAAGTTTAAGCACTGTAGGGCAGGGCTGAATCCCTCCTGGGGTGAGGGGTATCCTTATCCCTCAGGCTGCTGCTGCTCGGAGGGGAGTGGTCTGCCTGAGCAGGATGGTTGCAGGTTGGTTCAGCACTGGGATCCAGCAACGACTCTCTTAGTTCTCTCCCCAAGGCCACCAACCCCAGTCTCTCTTCAAGCATCTGTAGTCCACTCTGTCCCTCCCATTTGTCAGGGATCTACTGTCTCTGGCTATCTCCTTTGGTTGTTAATCTGGTCTCTCTGCACTCAGCAGTCAGGCTTAAGCACCACAGGGCCAGGGCAGATACCCTCCAAGGGTCAGGGCTATTGTTTCCCCTCAGGCTCCTGCCTCTCTGAGGGGAATGGTCTGCCTGAACACACTGGCTGCTGTAGTATCCGGTATGGCTCATACCGGGGTATGAGTTCATATGAGTCACCAGGACCCTGGTGTCTATTTTCTCGGTTCTCTCCCCCAAGCTTCAGTCCTTAGTCTCTCCTCAGGCATAACCAGCCCACTCTGCCCCTGCTGTTGCCAGAGCCCAGGGTAAGTGGCTGCAAATGAAAAGTTGTGTGTTGGTGCTTTAAAACACTCTTGCATCTCTGGCCATCTGTCTCTACAGCCTTGCCACTTTTTGTTGCTGGTTGATATCTGTGTCCTTTTTGGGCTCTGGTGCTCTAGGCTGGGAATCCTACTTAGGGTTAGACCCCACTCTTCCCAGGGGAGCCCAGGGTAAGTGGCTGCAAATGAAAAGTTATGTGTTGGTGCTTTAAAACACTCTTGCATCTCTGGCCATCTGTTTCTACAGCCTTGCCACTTTTTGTTGCTGGTTGATATCTATGTCCTTTTTGGGCTCTGGTGCTCTAGGCTGGGAATCCTACTTAGGGTTAGACCCCATTCTTCCCAGGGGGATCTAACTGGTCACTTAATTATCCCTCTGGTACTGCTGCCTATGGACACCCAGCCAGCTCTCTTGAGTCTCCACCGCACTTCATACCAATCACATTTTGAAGCATATATGAAATGCATATATTATAAGAAAAATATAATTTATTGAAATTAACACCTAGTTAAAAAGACACAGAAAATATGAGTAGTGCTTTTGCCTCAAAATAAATCGAATCTGTAGTTTATTTTCCCATAATGAAAATGCTAAGCCTAGATAGTTCTACAGCTCTATAGCTATCTAGGCTTAGTGTCCTACCTAATGTTCAAAGAGTTCATTCAGTTTATAAACAAACCCTTCTAGAGAACAGAAGAAAGTATGATTATTAACTTATGAGACTAGCAATACTCTAAGGCAGAAAAAACAGACAAGGGCTGTAGAAGAAAAGAGAATCATGGGATGATCTCAATCTCATTTGTGAATATAGATGCAAAAATCTTAAACAATATGTTAGCAAAGCAAATCCTACAATATAAAGATAATATGAGGTCGGGTTACTCCAGGAAGCCGAGGTTGAATAATACTAGACAATATTCTGGAAATAACAGGTTAGGTAAATTATACAACCCTTCTACGCCTGGAATGGAAAGATTGACCTACTTTTCTCCTCACTGGTGCATTGGGGAGGGAGGAGTTTGCTGACTACTGAAGAAGCAAGTAAGAGGCTGAATAGTACTTTCAAAACTTTTACAAAGGTAGGACAACTAAAGGTCAAGCCCAAAGTTCATAAAAGTGTATGTGTGTGGAGAGAAGTGTTGGTAAACTGCTCACACTTTGGGTTGGACTCTGTCCTAGCACTAAGGGCAAACTGCAAAAGGACTAGGCCATGAGTACATTCGACCTGGCTTCACATCATTCAGGCACAGAATATGCAATAAAGTTATCAGGTATTGTTAGTGAACCCAGGTGCTGGGCAGAAGCGGACATAAATTTTCTCTAAGAAAGATATTATCCTCCTAGGATTAAAATTATTTCCAGTTTTTCAGATTCAACAAATGGCATGTAATAAAAAATAATCAGGCAAACAAGAGGAGGCAACATGAATGAGAACTCGTAGAAACAGACCTGTAAAAAGTTATTATAAACACATGGAGGAATTATAACTCACCAGTATTTAATTTATTGATTAATTCATTAGGTAATGTGTTAATAAAAAAGCTGGAAAAATGCAGAACTGCATTTAAGAGGGGAAAAGTAAACTTCAGTTTAAGAAAAAAGGCTTGTATATTTATAAACTAATTTGTTAGGTATATGAATCTTTTTAATATGTTTTTGTACTCTTTTCCTATGATACATTCTTCCCTGTGTTTTAAAATAAGATCAATAGCCCATCAGTGTGGGCTAATTTGAGATTTCATCTGTTGGAAAACAGAATTAGGCATAAGAAATCCCTAGGTGGTCCCTGCAGCAGCAACCCCAAAGAAAAACATGGAAAATAACCTAAGTGCTTTAAAATGGTTCTAGCTTGGCAGGATGTACTACAGTGTTCTTTATTCCTTTTTAAAAAGGTTTTATTTACTCTTAGGGGAAGGGAGGGAGAAAGAAAGGGAGAGAAACATCAGTGTGTGATTGCCTCCCATGTGTTCCCCACTGGGGACCTGGCCTGCAGCCCAGGTATGTGCCCTAACTGGGAATTGAACCAGCAACCCTTTGGTTTGCAGGCCAGTGCTCAATCCACTGAGCTACACCAGCCAGAGCAAGTGTTCTTTATTTTTTATGTATGCTGTTGTTGAAATGGCCTCACTGATAACTATGCAAATAGGGTTGTTTGGTAATGAATGTCATAGAGAGTTGTGCCCAGTTCTTGAGTAGAATAGAAAGGGTTGTTCTTTTCAATTGCATTTCATCAGAGAGATGTAAGGCACATTTAAGTTGTAAAAAGTAAATGTTTTACTATAAGACAACCTTCTTTTTCAAGTTCTAACTAAAGTCTTTTTAACACTTTTTCTCTTTCTACAGAATGAACATGTTGATTACGTAGATGTTGGCGGGGCTTATGTTGGACCCACCCAGAACAGGATCTTAAGGTTATCTAAGGAACTGGGTTTAAAAACTTACAAAGTGAATGTAAACGAGCGTGTTGTACAATATATTAAGGTAAGCCTGATATTTTATTCAAGAGACCAATGGGGGAGTATTGTATTTGGGGAAAAGTTTGGTTTTGTTTTGAGTTGTTTGTTTTTCTCAAAACAGTCATAAAAATTGGTTCTTGGCTTTAAAGTAGTATTCTGCCTTTACTGGAAGTGGTCAGGCCTCAGCTTAGCCCTCCTCCACATAACCCACTGAGGTACTTGAAAGCTGCACCCCCACCCCAGTCCAACTGGAGTAGGATGGAAAGCTCTGTTTCCTTTCCTCCCCTCTGGAGCCAAGGGGAGGGTGCCTGCGACACACACACACACACACACACACACACACACACACACACACACACACACACACACCCCTCCTAGCAGCCCACGGCAGCCCTTAAGGCACCTGTGATACAGTTCTAATGCCCCTAGAAACACAATAGTTTGAAGCCACTTTTTAAATACTGACAAGGTTATTCATTCTCCTTCTTACCTGACATTTCTTTACATGCCTTGGTAATTTCTTCCACACCTAGCCTTGACTCTGGCAAAGTCTAGCCAGGTCGTGTAGTTTCCTACTGTTTAAACAAGTGATTGTTTAACTTCTAAATGCTGATATCCACTAAAGGAACAGCTGCTCTTGGCAGTGTTATTTTTTTTTAGTGAAGCCAAACAGAGCTGCTGGAGTGTGGAAATATGTCTTGAGAAGTCATGTTTCCAATCTGTCGTTGTAGCCCACTTCCTGGAATGAGAATCACTAGGCCAAGGGCCACTTACTCATTGTAATGCCATGATTCCTATGCCAATAACTACATCACTTCTCAATAGACACAGCTATCTTCCACTAACATCCAGGCAATCAGGTGTGTCTGGTGTCTCCCCAGCCTTTTGGAGGTGAGAGTTAAAGATACCTGTGATGTATGCATACCAATGCTCAATCAGGAATCTTGGAAAACTGATAGCCAGGTAGTTTGGGATGCTTGGGAGAGTCTAGCAGTCATACAAGGGAAAAAACAAACCAGTAACCTTTGGAAAAACTGTGGGTTCAGAGGTCAATGAAGGAATAAAGAAAGCATAAAAACTTATATAAAGTGTTGAGCATTATTGGCTTCAATAGTCATAATCAAGAGGGAAAAATCCCCTTGCTTCCCCATTTTCTCCTTTCTGCATGGCATGGTGTTTCTCCAGACTAGTAAGTAATAACAACAGTAAGAATAATAGCAGTTAACATATTGAGTACTATTATGTGTATTAGCACATTTAATATTGGAAGACAGACCAAATCCTTTGCACTCAAGTATTTAAGTAAACAGTCTTGTAAATTCACTCTCCAGTCTGGTTGAGAAGCAAATGAAGCTGATGATTATCCTAGAATCTGAGCAGACTCATGCTTATAATCTCTTCCTCTGTAACTTTCATGTGCTGAGAGATTTAAAAAAATTATCTGGAACCTCACAATAAACACCTAAGAGCTTTTTATACATCAACTCATTAAATGCTTAGTTCTACCCTGCTGGGCAGGCATGGTTATCCCCTTTTTACACAGGAGAAAACTGAGGTTCAGAGTTGTAAATTGACTTGAGGGGACTATGTAACTAGTAACAGTCTGCCTACCCACTGACTGCATGCTCTTAGTGATCCCAATATGTGATGTAGGAAATAAAGCTCAGGGTCCTGAATGAAATATACAGGCTCTCCAATCTTTTCTGTGGCTGAACACATATCCATTGTAAGGTATCTCACCATCTATTTCACTGAAGCCCAGCTCAGGCAAGGAATAGATACAGTTATTGAAAGAGCAAATATCTTTCCCTTACTCTTTTCCCAGTCCCATGTTCCTTTATAAACATTTTGAGAGGGAAAAACTGAAAATTTGTAGCTATGTCCTCCAACTAAGTATGTTAATCTCCCAGCTGTGGACACTCTAAAATGTGATACTAAGGTGAGATTTTTGAAAACATCACCCAGCCAAGTTTTGTAATAATTTAACTCATTGTTCCTGATGGAGGCGGGGGTGGGAGTAAAATGAGAAAATGATATTTGGGAATTTTGCCTTTGCTTTGAAAGTTATCAACAAATCATGGCATGTTGCTCAGCCTTGTTGACAGGACCTTAATGAGTTAAGCATCATTAGCTTAGGCTTTCTGACACCTCTGGAATTTACTGGGCTTCATGGTGAATGCTGCATTCAAAGGTCTAGTTCTAATTATTCCATGCTTTGTCAGGGTCCTGCTGCAAGTATTAGTAGAAAATGAACTTGTGGAAAAACTTAAGGAAATGCTACGTCAAATGCCTAAGTAAGGAAAGGGAAATGTTAAGAGTAGCATTCAGGGTCACTTTCTTTGTTGCTGCTACTGAGCCCCTCTCTCTCTAAGGTTAGGGCCACACATCCCTGATAGTCCTGTTCCAAAGAAACAGCTTTCTATAGAGCAGAGCTACTCAACTGCCACCATGTTTTTCTTCAACAAAAATATAAGTATAGCTGAGCTGTCACATAACCTACTGGAAAAAGCATCTTGTGGCATGGGACTTGGTAGCCAGAGGCTGCATTCAAGAATTATTAGGCATTATTAACCTCTGAATCTTTGTCATTGCATGGCCATGCATGTCAGTACAATAGAAATAATGTTCTGTCATAATTATCGAACATGCAGCATGTGGCAGGCTTGGTGCTAAGACTGCTGCTTAACCTGAACTTTGGACAACAAAGAGCACACTGAAATAGTGGCCACAGTGATTGATCCCTCAAGGTCAACAGCACTCCTGTAGTAATAACAACCCAAGATCACCTTTATTAAGATCCTTGTATGTTCCACACTCTGTGCCAGGGTCTTTGCCTCCATCATCTTACTGAACCCTCACAAGGACCCTAAGGCAGGGGCTGTAGCCCCAATTCTCAGAAACAGGCTGAAGGTCAGAGGCCAAATAACCTACTCAAGCAAGTAAGGGCCACAGAGCTGAAATTTAGGTCAAGGCTTTTCTACTTTCCCATGTTGTCTCTTCTTATGCCAGATTCCCATGTCATGACTTTGAACTCCATGAAGTTGCCTTTGTGCTGGTCCTGGTCTTCTTTGAGGACTCTCTTCTAAGAATCATTCTGTGATCTTCATCATGTCCCTGAAGACAGTGCCGGGGATCATATTGCTCAGTCCTTTGGCCTTTGAGCCTGGAAGAGCAGTGTAGCTATCTGCCATAACACAATCATTGTGTCTTGATTATTGTGATTGATGTAGTAACTGGAAAACACTCATTTAAGTTCTGGATAATGAATGTTGAAGCTCTATTTTGAATGATAGTATGTAGAAGTAAACACATATTTAAGATGCTAAACACTTTTTTTTCATTTAAGATATAATCTCACCTAACAAAAAGATGGAGAATATAAATAACATTCAACCATCCTCTCACATACTGTAACCTGCCAAAGAACACATATTTTCAACCAAGGTAGATGGAAATATTAAGGTAAAAAGTAGTGGATTGGTTTGCATTTATTTTAACAGAATGAGTGCTTCATTTCTGGTAGTATTTCTGATAATATCATATTATTTCAGCAATGATAAATACTCAGTGTAATGGATACTTTTATGGTAACCAAGAAACTATAAAGGGAACAGGCCGGATTAGAGAAAAGCAGAAAGATATTCAGTTAAATATTCCAGGTAAGATTGCTAATAAACTGCCTAGCAAAATACAAGTCTCCTTATTTAAAACTATCTTAACATTCACTGTTCTGCCACTTCTAAGAAAAGAAAAAGGACTTTTCCCCAGAACGATAGTGTGTTGGGTTAATAATGCAAATTATATTATTCTCTCATAACAACCCTGGCTTCAGTAATATAATACAGTAATTCTATTATTTTTATTTTTTAACTTTTCCTATAATATTTATTTTTTAAATATATACTCTTTGTTATAATTCTTCCATTACCATTTAGTCCCCTAATAACCCCTTCTCTCAGTAATCGCCATACTGTTGTCCATGTCCATGAGTCCCCTTTCCTTTTTACTCAATCCCTTCATCCCCAATCCCTCCCCAACTAGCTGTCATCTGTTCTCCATCTATAAATTGGTTTTTGTTTTGCTTGTTCAGTTCAGTTTGTTTGTTAGATTCCACATATGAGTGAAATCATATGGTATTTGTCTTTCTCTGACTCACTTAATTTACTTAGCATCATGTTCTCTAGGTCCATCCATACTATTGCAAAGGGTAAAATTTTCTTCTTTTTTCAAGGCCAAGTAGAATTCCATTGTGTAAATGTCCCACAGTTGTTTTATCCACTCCTATACTCATGGACACTTGGGCTACTTCCATATCCTGGTGATTGTAAATAACACTGCAATGAACAGAGGGGTGCTTGCATTCTTTTGAATGAGTGTTTTAAGTTCCTTCTGCTCTAGTCCCAGAAGTGGGATCACTGGGTTAAATCCATTTTTAATTTTTTGAAGTATCCCCATACTGTTTTCCACAGTGTCTGTACCTGTCTGTATTACCACCAACAGTGCAAAAGTGTTCCCCTTTCTCCATATCCTCACCACACTTGTTGGTTGTTCATTTATTGATGATAGCTATTCTGATAGATGTGAGATAGTATCTCATTGTGTTTTTAATTTGCATTTCTCTGATGATTAATGATGTTGAGCATCTTTTCATATGTCTATTAGCCATCTGTATGTCCTGTTTGGAGAAGTGTCTTCTCAGGTCCTTTGCTTATTTTTTTAATTGGGTTGTTTGTTTTTTTGGTGTTGAGTTTTGTAAGTACTTTATAAATTTTGGATAGGAACTCCCTATCAGACATATCAGTGAATATGTTCTCCCACTCTGTGGGTCATCTTTTTATTTTGTTGATGATTTCCTTTGCTGTATAAAAACTTTTTAGTTTGATAAAGTCCCATTTTTTCCTTTTGTTTCCCTTGCCTGGGATATATCCGATAAAATATTTCTACAAGCAATGTCTGAGATTTTGCTGCCTGTCTTCTACAATTTTTATGGTTTTGGGTCTAACATTTGTGTCTTGGATCTATTTT